CCAACCAGGTGATCAAAAGTACGCCCAGTACTTCAAAATTGTACATGAGCACTACTCATGTCAATCATACATAAACATTCATGTGCATCACTCATATCAATCATACATAAACATTCATGAGTATCACTCTTGTCAACATCCATGAGCATCACTCATGTCAATCAACATAAACATTCATTAGCATCACTCATGTCAATCAGCTTCAAAAGCTTCATTTACAAAGCTCTAGCTTCAAAGCTTCATTTACAGAGCTCTAGCTTCAAAGCTTCACTTGCAAAGCTTCACCTACAAAGCTTCAATGCAGGGTATACAAATACCGCCTCCGAACAACCACCACTTCGGCCCATACATGGATTCAGTTTGAAGTCTCTAGCCAACAGACTCTATTGACCGAAGACTTGGGGGACTACATTATGTACCATATATTGGGCCTCAACTGGGCCTCATGGAAAATACTTGGGGGACTTAGCCTATTATTTATGTATTGAGGAGCGAGCCTTTATTTTATAAAAGGGACTCCCTCACTTTCATTGGAGAGTACTCATGAAAAATACTCGGGGGACTCTAGCCCATCACTTATGTATTGAGGAACGAGCCCTTATTCTATAAAAAAGACCCCCTCACCATCATTAGAGAGTATCAACTCTAGCCCATCATTCATGTATTGGGGAGCGAGCCTTTATTCTATAAAAAGGACTCCCTTACCTTCAACGCCACAAGCCAAGCCAACCAAGGCAACATAAGCCACGAGCCGAGCAGCATGTGCTACTTCTAGTTGAGCATCATTTCAGATTGAGCACTGCCTCATATCGAACATCAGTTCAAGACAACATCTAGTTACTTCAACCTACACATGGACTGAATTTCAAGTCTCCAGCCAAAAGACTCCCTTAACTGAAGACTTGGGGGACTGCTGTTTATACCATATTTAGGGCATCCGTATTTAGATCTCATACAAATACTCAGGGGACTTAAATGTAATTATGTAATAAAACAAGGGGCAAATATGTAATAAATGAGGAGCCCTTATTCTATAAAAGGACTCATTACCCTCATAATTAGAGGAGACCAATTCCTAGGCCCTCTCACCCTTCTCACATCCCCTCTCATATTCAGAGGTTCTCTCCATCACCTTTCATATAAATACAATAATCAGTGTGGACGTAGCCCAAACCTTGGGGTGAACCACGATACATCTTGTGTTATTTACATTTCATGCAGATTCACAGTCGGATTTACGTTGTTCCAAGACCTCCGGTTTTGTGCATCAACACTACTCATCGTTGCTGCACTGGTGTTAGTACTCGCCCGGGCCAGGGCCAGTCTTTCAAGTGTATGTGTACATTACACCATACACTCACTTTGGATCCATTGTAGGTGCCAATCCTATCCTAGATTGCTATAGGCAATTATGACTCATATGTGATGTGCATAGTGCCAATCTTCATGTGATTGTAGTGTTGGAGCGTATATAATTGTTACACTCAGTCATGTTCATGTTAGAATATCTCTGCATGAACTCGTGTGTCAGCATGTGTCTATGAGCACTCAATATAATATGTTTGCTTATGCGAGATTATGTGATTATGGACGTCATGTGTTTACTCACGAAATATTGTGCTGTATTGAATTCTTAAGATATTGCAGGCTACGGTAAGTATTTTCTTACTATACGTAATATGTATATTTTGAAAACTATACTTGTTTTACAGCAAGGGATTATTATGTTTTCGAAAATGTTTTTACAAAGCTTTATTTTTAGGCTCACTCACCCTTGTTTTTTTCGTCCCTCTAGGTTTTAGTGTTGAACTTTCGTGTCAACGAGGATTCTTGGCAAATCTTGGTATAGATGGTCACCTTCAATGATATGATTCTCACCTTACCATACTGTACTTTACTTATGCTCTGACATCACATGTGAAATGGGTTCATTCCCACTCACAAGCGCACTCTTCTATTTAGTCACTTTTAGGTTTAAATTTATTCACATTTTTCACATCACTTCACTTTATGGCTTCATCACCCTTCTGGTGTCGACCAACACAGCTCGATTTAAAGTCCAGGTGGATATTCTGGGTCGGAGTGTGTCACCAAACCTCACACCAAACTCAAAATTAACTCCAAAAACACATATTAATGAAAAAAAATTAAAATTTGGGGGAGAATATACCTTTTGGCAAGATTGAGAGTGAGTGAGAATGAGAGGGAGAAGTGAGTGTGAGAGAATTAAAGGAGATAGTGAGAGAGTGATGAGAGAGTGAGTGAGAGTGAGAAATAATGAAGAGAGAGAAGAGAGATTAAGTGAGAGGAGTGAGTGTGAGAGAGAAGGGTTGGATTTAGGGAGAGGGAAAGAGAGAGGAGAGGTAAGATAATAGAGAAAGACATTGAGAAAATTGTGGAGGAGTTATTTTGGTTTTCAAAACCGTATCACTTTGTTCGATGAAGAATTCAAATTTGTGCAATGAAATATTGGTCGAGCAAAGTCTTGATAAATTTTTTTTTTTTTAAATTTCCCACATCTCATTTTTGGCGCCTGCCCAAATTTTTACAGTTTTGTGCGACAAAGCATTGGTCGCACAAAGTTTTGCATGACGAAGCATTGGTTGTGCAAAGTTTTGCGCAATGAATGATTGGTCGCACAAAGTTTTAAATTTAAAGGAAAAAAAAAAGAAATCCCGTGTCCCATTTTTGGCTCCCACCCAAATTCAAGGATTTTGCATGACCGGATATTGGTTCGTCGAGCAAAATTTATAAAAATAATTTTTATAAGTAATTAAAAAGAAAATAATTTTATTTTACAATTTAAAATATAAATAAATAAAAATAAATAAGGTTTAGGCGACCAAATGTGTATTCGTCGTGTAAAGAAAATAATAAAAATTAAAGAAATAATTTAGTTTAACAATATTGTGGAGCCTAAAATAAGTTGAATGAGTTTAGCGTTTTATTTATCATTGTTGAATGAGTTTAAGTTGTTTAATGATAATAAATGTGGTAATGAATATTACCACAACGTTAAAGCCGTGAGCAAAAATGCACACATGTTTGTTGGGGCCAGTGGGCCAACGGGGTGTCCCAATGGAAACTATCTTAGTCAAATAAGGCTGAAAACTAAGCACCAACATGTTTTCTAATAATTTTCTTTAACAAGTGGGTCTCCAACTTTAACTATATGTTTTGTGTCGCACCACGATTTGATTGATTGATTCCAATTTCCACACCAAAATGGTTGGTGTTTTCAGTATGCCTTTGGGCCGGTGGGCCTTAGTATTAATTGCAGAATTTTAAAAGATGATAGATACTAATTGTGTAACAGGTTGGGGCTTTGAATTTAGGCACCTCCGTAGGCTTAGGCAAACTAAAGAGGATTTGAGTACATTTATTACATATCGTATAAATTAATTAAATTTATTATATAACATATAACATATAAAAATTGAATAATATGTTTTTTTATTAAAAATATATATATAATATAATGTGAGAGTTTTAAGTACATAATATGGTGTGGTTTTTTCTTTTTTTTTTTTAAAAAAAAAGAAAATAAAACATGGACTAGGATCCTCTCCAGATTCCTTCTCTCAGGATCCTTGGGATTCTTCAATCATGAGCGTTCATAATGGATGAAGTTCAGGGATTGTTTTGAATTTTTTCTTTTCTTTACAAAATGAAGTCGTCGCCTCAGTCTCTCTTATTCACTTTCTTCTTTACCCTCCCTCTCTTTGAATCCCCACCTTCTTCTCTTCACTATTTCTCACTCTCCCAATAATTAATTTCAATTTTTTGTCAAATTTCTAGTAGATCGACATTGTTTATGTGATCACTTTCTCTCTCCCGTCCAATTTTGCTTCTCAACGTTTCACATTCCTCTTGCCTCCCAAATTTCAGATTCTTAACACAACCATCATTGTAAATTTCCCATCTAAACTCTCTCTCTCTCTCTCTTTTATCAAATCTTGCATCATCTGCGAGAGATGTGATTGCGACCAAAGACGAGAAAGCCAATATTTAAAAATAAGAAAAAAAAAACCATTGCCTAGATCGCCGCCTAAACCTCCTAGAGTGCGCCTAAGTGGCGTCTCACTCCTACCCGATTTTGCTGAACGATTTTGCCTAAATCGCGATGACGCTCCATTGGCTAGCCCCTAGGGTGATTCGTAGAACAGTCATTAATTGTTGTAAATTGGCAAAGGGCATTACTCTTGTCTCATATCTTGTACTACATGTTGATTCCTTTAACAAATGTTTCTTTGTTGCCTTAGGCGGCCACCTAAGCACTGGGCAACAGTGCTCCGCTACGATTTTGGTCAGTACATTTACAAAAGCCGGGAGGAAATAGGCGAGCGCCTAGGCGCTTTAGGCGGTCATATGCAGCTCTAGTCGGCAGTCTAGGTGGGTTCTGCAATTTTCGATTCACCATATGCAGGCATCTGCATCATTGACCGTTCACCATCTACAACCCGTCTCTGCAATTTTTGACAACCTGGTTCTGCAGAAGGTGGGTTTTGGGTTCTTTAGAGAATGAAAGAGGAGATAAGGATGGTGATCAAGAAGAAAAACCTAGCCGCAAGAGGAAAAAAATATCAAAGAAAACCTACGACCACTGGCCCCAATTTTGACCTTAGGTCGACAACAATCCTTGATCCCTTCCTTCTATTTCTATTTTTTTCTTTTTCATGATGGTCGCTCTCTTGCTTTGTCGAGAAGAGTCTTTGTGGTTGTGATTGTGGTCACTTTCTCTTTCTCAAGAGGAGAGCTTTTGTGTGGTTTCGTTATCAAAAGCCTATGAGGGCATTGCCATGGTGTCTCGTAGCATGGCTTCTTTGCCGAATGAACATGGTATTTTGCAAGTTCATCAAAAAGTGATGCAAGGTTTTGCCCTCTTGAGCGTTGTTGTTCCATTTGGTTAAATGTGGTTATGTGGGGATTTTTGTATTGTCTTTTCTATTGCGTTCGTAATCATGGAATTGTATTGTCGATGGATGATGTTCTTGGTTTCATTTGATTAATAAAATATTTATTACCTTAAAAACAAGATATAGAGGATAATGGGTTAACAAAACATTCAAATTATAATCGGTATATACAGGGTATGCCAAAATTGAAACGAGAAACTCCAATCCTCTAATTAATGGGCTAACCTATTTATCACACTTGTTTGGTTTTGCCAGAAAGGATTAAGTGTGTGTTCTGGTGACCTCAGGCATTCCTATATGTACCTCAGTAGATGACGCATTACTGGCTAATTCAATTTCATTTTGGCCAGCCCCTTCTTGATGATCCTCAACAATTTCTTGGTTATCATGAAAATTCTCAGTTTCTCTAGGATGACTCTGGTTCATTTCGGCGAAAGTTAATTGGGGGCGATGTGAAGAGAAATCAGGGGAATGCATGATTCTAGACGAATTTTCGTCATGACCAGATTGTGAATAGTGTGATTTATTTTTCCTCCTTCTCTTCACGTCAGCGTGCCACTGCTTTATAACATTTGTTGTTTGCTCTTCAAGCACTGCTGCACTCTTGAAATTTGATCCCATCTGCATGCATGTATAACCCGAGTTTAGGTGTACAATATCGAGGGTTATATTCTTCTTATCAAATGATATGTTACACTATCAAACTGTGAGTTTTTAACAGTTGATCGATTCGATTGTATTCGACTGTGTGATTCACATTGATAGTTTGACGCATAGCATAACATAGTATCTGACGAGAGAAAACAACTATATGCTCATATGCAAGTAAAGGCATGCATTACCTGGGTCACTAGAGCATAGAGGGGAAGAGTAATGTAACTGCACATCACTTGAACCGTCACCCTACAGAAATTTGTCAACCATTTACTTTTAGTAGAACAATGCTAAGTAGCATCTGATTTGTACAATGACAGACATGTGCAAAATTGAGTGTAGATATGTAGATGATGAGAGAAAGTAGAGGAAGATTCGAAGATGAGCGTTGGTACTTACGCTAAAACCACTCGTACGATTATAATATATATGTGTTCATGGTAGCAGGAGTGTATCCCAAATTGCATCTGAAAATAATTAAGAAAGGAGAGGTATGTTAGTTTTTATCTTAATTTTCATTAGAACAAAGTAACTTTTATCTCGAGTACTATATCGATTGACTAAACCGGAGTAGTGTACTTTTATCAAACAGTCTGACGTGTTATATTATCATGTTGTCGATCTAATAAATAACATATATATATATATATATATATATATATATATATATTCAGGTAATGGTTAATCTAATTAATGGTTTATTAGTTTAGATAGAGAATATGATAAAAATAACAAAATGTATGTCAAGATAACAACACATTTCTAACTAAATAACGAACAAGTGGAAATTAATAACACGTACCGTGACCCATATAAAGAAAGCAAGTTCAAAGGCATTCTGCAAAGACGAAATCATGTCAGTTAATTTGATCATAGTAATAACTGAGATGATTAATTAGGCATTAGTACTCATACGGAGTTAAGAAAGAAGATTAGTATTTACCATAAACAAAGTGAGATGTAAAAGAGTCAAGACGAACTGCGGTTGACTGAACCAGAAGTGACTGTCTTTTGGTTGCACCAGAGGAGTTCCTTTAATCACATTATCCTGGTCATGAAGTTGATGAGCCATGTTTGCTACTACTACTTCAAGTTTGGTTCCAAGAACTAGCACTATCTACGAACACATCTTAATTAGCCCTTAATTACTACAAGAATTAGTAAAGTAACCATGATTAGAAAGAGCTAGTTTAAAATTTAGTACATACAATTAGTGGCACAAATGATACCAAGAGATACACCTGCCAACCTGTTTAAGTTCATATAGTTAATTAGTACCAACCAGAAACTAAAGAAATTATTTAGGTTGAATAAGCAAATTAAGGACTTAATTGGTTGCTTCTTAATTACCATGGACATCAAGGAGGATGAAGATGACGACAATAAACCACAGGAGAGGGCTGCCAAGTGATGGATTTCACAAACACACAATTAGCCAACATGAACAAACTAAATTAATTGTAGATATAATTACCAACCTTAATGAACTCAGGTTTTCTAATTAAAATTTAATAAAAATTACAAGCGGCAACCTGATCCGACTACAGTTCTAAAATCATCGTCCAGTGATCGTTGTATGTACTTTTGGAAATCGAATGCATTGTGGTTTGTGGACAAATGAGTCTGCAAAATTTGTGAAAAACATACTTGAGATATAAACTACTGAGATATGAGAACCAATTAATTAACAGTAAACAGAATGATATATTTTTGATGTCTTATTTGTTTGTCTATTTACATATACTCACTGAAACGAAACCGTGGCGCAAAGTGAGGTAGTCAACTTTGTCCACTGAATGATAGAACTGCCGGAAGAAGCACCTCTGCATAATACATAATTAACAATTTAATAATTAAGGGTAAATTACACAGAACTACCTCAGCTATTGGGTCATTAACAATTTCATACCTCGTCTTTATAAAGTTTCAATGTCATACCTCATCTACGAATTTGTTACAATTTCATACATTCCGTCAGTTGTTTGTCAATTCCTACGTTAAAATGCTAACATGGCAAGTGACGGGATCCATTTTCTATTAAAAAAAAAAATTAAATATTAAATTAAAAAAAAAAGAAACCCAAACCCAGATCCCATATCCCCCCCCCCCCGGCGAAACCCATCCCCCCTTCCCATCTTCCTCATCCGTCCCCCCCTTCCAAACCCAAAACCTCATCCCCACCTCCCCCGCAACACCCCCCTTTCCCCTCCCGAGCCTCCCAACCACCTCCCTCTCCCCCACTCTCTTCACCTCCCCTCCCGAGCCTCCAACCACCCGTCTTCCCTCCCCTGCACCCTTCCTCCCTTCACTCCAGAACCCCCGCGCCCTCTCTTCCTCCATCTCCTCCTCCCTCCCATGGCGCTACTCCCTTTCCCACTCCTCCTCCTCCTCCTCCTCTTGCTTCACTAACCTCTCCCCCCACCCAAGCCCAACCTGCAACCCAGAAAAAAAAAATCACCATCTTCATCTTCCCCGAGAGGGTGGGTGCAGGGAAGGGGGGGGGGGTCGGGGGAAGAAGGGATGTAGATTTTTTTTTTCTTTTCTTTTCTGGGTTGCAAGTTGGGCTCGATGGGGGGAGAGGGGGTGGGGGGAAGACGAACTGGAGGTTTTGGGGTGGGGGGAATGGATGTGGATTTAAGGAGTGGGGTGTGTAGAGGAGGAAGAAGAGGGTGGGTGCAGGAGGGTGCGGACGGAGGAGGAGGTGGAGGATGGGTGCGCAGTGGGTTTGGGGAAGACGCGAGGGGGAATAAAAGGGGTGGGTTGCAGGAAAGGGGTTCTAGGCTTGGAATGAAGGTTTTGGGGGCCGGGGGGGGGGGGGGGGGGGTGGGGGGGGACCGACGGGGGGAAGGGAATGAGGGGTTGGAGCTGTTTGGAGGGAGGAGGAAGAGAGGATGTGGGGAAGGTTGGAGTTGTTGGCATGAGTGGTAAAGGGGTCGAGGGTGAATGAGGTGGTGGCGGGTGGAGATGTTGGCGTGGGTGGGGAAGGGAAAGGGGGTTGTAGGGAAAGGGAAGGGAGGGGTCGAGGGTGAATGAGGTGGTGGCGGGTGGAGATGTTGGCGTGGGTGGGGAAGGGAAAGGGGGTTGTAGGGAAAGGGAAGGGAAAGGGAAGGGGAAGGGGTCAGGGAAGATGGGTGTGGGGTTTTTTTTTTTTTAGGGTAAATTATTATTTTAATAATTTTTTAATAGAAAATGGGCCATGTCTCAAGTCACGTCAACATTTAACAGATGAATTAACAGACAACTGACGGGAGGTATGAAATTGTAGCAAATTCGTAGATGAGATATGACATTGAAACTTAGGTATGAAACTGTTAATGACCCAATAGTTGAGGTAGTTTTATATAATTTACCCAATAATTAATTATGAGCAAAAAACTTATCATGATTCAGGACAACCACATATATGTTAACATAAAATCTTATGATTATAATAATAACAATAATTAAAGTGAAAAGAAAATCAACTCACAATCCACAGTTGAGCAGTGGTTCCTCTTCCTGTACAAGAACTCATATGTCGAAGAGCAAATGTAGTCTGCCTTGTAAACCTAAACCGATTAGGATCTATACCCAAAAGAAGTTGAGTATTGAAAAAAGAAGATTGAATTACCTGCTGTACTTTATTGAAATTGAATTATGGAACAAATGAAACAAATTAAGATTACACCTAAAACGATTAAGAATTTTATGTCATTGTTTATCATACCATTTGCCACTTGGTATTCCACTGTCTGAGTTTCTTTTTCCCATGCTTCCCAACGCCTCATCTGTAAATTTGTTTGAACGCAATGTTAAACTAGTTACCCGAGTAACCAATTAGTTATAAATTAATAAATTATTACAAGGGAAATAAAGTGCTCTGCCATTTAAGTAAAAGCCACTAGAATATTATAAATGCAAAGACTTGTTTTAAAAATGGGACTCTTCATGAACTCGCCATTTTATATTTTTGGCACAATATTTTATGATGTTGGTATGAGAATTAACGTTAAAACAATGAGGTGACAAATAATCTATGGAAAGTCTCATTTTAAGAGTCTTCTTAACATTTCTTCTAGAATGTATGTTTTATTTTTTTCGACTAAAGATTTAGAATACAACAAATTGAAGTGGCTGCCACAATATTTTTATAATTAATTAACATGTAGTAAGATAATACATATGTAACACAAATAGGATTAGAATAATTTGAAAAATTATATACTTTTCCTTTGACTATATGACATGACACATGATCCGAATCTTAATGCATTTTTTCTGCCTTTCAATGCTCAAAGCTCCCCCCGGCTGCCTTGGAGGGGGGGCAAAGGTTTTCCATGTGAAACAAACAAATTCTTTTCAGTTTCAGGTTGGGATGCATTCTCAAAATCTAAAAAAAAAAAAAAAGTCAATTTGTGGAAATTTAATTGGGATTCTACTATTTTTAACAACCAGGTTCTCAACCCCAAACTGTCGGTGAGGTGTGATTTGGAGAACATTGGGTGGGATTATGGTTGAGAGTTGGCGATGGAAGAGCTATAAACACCCAAACTGTTGTTCACATACAATTATTGAACGATCGACTGTTTTGCATGATACATGCTTTGGACTCTAAAGATTGTTGCTCTCGCACGATGCCAATGTGTGGAAAAAAAAAAATGTTATACAAAAGAAAAAGAGTGAAAAATTAGAAATGCATACCTTGGCCCTTCCTAAAGCCATGGTGAGAACACTATACACAATCTGCATAACTGCCAAAATAAAGATGAAATTGTTGAGCTGATTGAGCCCCCCTTGAGATATAAATGAGGTCTTTCCCTGCAAACCCAAAATTTCTTTTAATTAAATAATAAAACTAAATTAAAAGAGAAAAACAACTACCCTCTTCATCGCAAAAATATATCAATAAAAGCAAAATACTTAATAACATACCTGGGATTCACAGTGATCCTCACTGGTATTGGCTGCTGCAAGCATTCTTTCTATTGGTATTTGCTCTAAACCAAGAGCTTTGGTGGTTTTTGTTGGTGCATTTTTTCTGCAGGGAAGCATGGTGAATGCAACTTTTGTGGGTATGCATATTTTGGATATGGATCTTTGTGATACTGTTAAAATTAGTGACATAAATCCCAGGAGTATAAGCACTGCACCAAAAAAATAAAATTTGATTCAGCAAATTGTGTCAAATTACCAACTAGAACATACATTCTGCATAAACTGCCTACGTGGGAAGAATACTCTCAGAATTAGGATAGGTTCTGAGTTCTTTTTCTAATGAATCAGCAAACAGAAATAACTTACCTGATTTGAGCTTCTCTACGGCCTCGAACAAGGCGGTTTTTCTGTGTTTTTTGAGCCACTGCATCAAAAAACATGATCAAATTAAAGAAAATTTGAAATTAGTGAAACCAGTTTAAAAAACCATTTGACTTTTTCAACAAGTTTGATGGTAATATTACAAAAGGTAACATGTACATACCTTGCTAATGAGATGGATCAAGTGCTCTATAAATAGAGAGAGAAAAATGAACACAAAGCAAACTGCTGCCAAAGCCCAGGTGGGGGTGTCTTGAAGTGAACGGCTGGATGCTGATCCTGCAGAAGCCATAATTTCTGTGTTTTCTTGGGGAAAACTGGATCAGCATCAAAGGAGGAATTAGTGAAGACCTGAAAGAACCACACAGAAAGGTTGTTCATTTAAATACCTGAAATAAATAGAGACGAAGGGGATGGACCAGGATCCTCCTGAGCTAAGATGAGGATCTTTCTCAGATGTGGGCCGTTGGATGAAAATTCAACGGCTATAATTATTATAACTTTAAAAGAACTTTTTGCTTGTAACTGTTGAATTTTTATCCAACGGTCCACATCCATTGATAAAGAGGATCTTCATCTTTAGCTCAGGAGAGGATCCTGATCCGAAGGGGATGAATGTTCAAATCTTCTATGCTGCTGTGACTTCCAAGTCCACGCAAAGCTGCCCCTTGTGAAAGTCGTATGCATTAAATATGATTTGACACGGTTTATTATTATATAATAAAGGTTTGTTTGATGGGGATTTTGAGTCCCATCTGTTTTTCTGGGTTGGAGATTTGGGTCCCGTATTAACGCGGTGCAAATACGTCCATATGTGGAAGTGGTTAGGGCAGGTGGTTCCATTTATTTGGGAACTCCTTTTCTGCAGCACGACATGAATGTTACTGTTATGGATAATCAAATATCGATGTTATGTGTTCACTTTTGTTGACCGCGGCACTCAACTGACTAGATGCTTCGGCCAAAATAAGAGACGGACACGTTTTTTTTTTTTTGAAAAAAAAGGTAAATTACAATTTACCGTATTCTCAGGTTTGAGGTATATTATAACCACATATAACATTCTCAAAAAATTTCATTTTCATACCTCATTTATTATTTTATTTCAATATAATATGTCTGTTACATTTTCTATTTATTGGTCCGTTAAGAGCTGATGTGGCAGTAATGGATCCCATTACACGTCAACCCACTCCCTCCAAAACTTGCATACGTGGATATCCATCTGCCACGTCATACCAACTCAGCAAAAAATAAATAAAAATTTGAAAAGGGGATCCGGGCAATCATCCTCTTCCTCCTCCTCTCGCCACCACTCCCGGGCCCTAGAAGGCCCAGCCTAAACCCGCCGTCGCTGTCCAGCTAGTTTCGCCGAACCACACCCACCATTTCGACGGTTTTCGAGTGGAGAGGGTCGCCAAGGAAGTTCAATTGAAACCCAGCTCTCCGCCGCTGCTAGTGAGCGGAAGGCCGAATCAGGGTGGTCAAGGCTCACTTCACCCACTTGCCTTCGACTCCACTGATTCGAACCAGCGAGTTCGTCATAGCGGATCTGCGTATATTCAACCTATTTGATGGGAAAGATCTGGTGTTTTGACTCCCTCCTTGGTTCTTGTGAAGGCTGCAGCGAAACGATCCCGGATGTGATGTCGGCGAGCACATACAGGTCTTCTTCGGCATCGAAATCGGTTTGGTTATCTTCGAAATAGCGATGGATCGGTTCGCATAATGGTTGTGAGAGATCGAGCGGTGGTTGATGGAGAACCGGACGGACGAAGACGGAGAGGAGGAGGCCGAACGGACGCTGATCGGTGGTGGTGGTGGTTGTGGATATGGTGATTGTAGTAGTGGTGGTTCTGGTGGTGTTGGAAGAAGGAGGAGGCCGGAGACAAGAAGCTGGAGATTGTCGAAGAGATGGGTGGGGGGTTGTGGGGAAAGGGAAATGATAGGGTTCAGGGCAATTTTTTTTTAAAATTAATTATTTTTACTTGCATTAAAAAATTATTTTTTAGGCACGTGGCACAAATGTGACAGCCACGTCAGCTCTTAACAGGACAATGGATAAAAAATGTAACCATGTATTATATTGAAATAAAATAGTAAAATAGTATTTGAGGTATGAAAGTGATTTTTTTTTAAAGATGTTGTATGAGATTGAAATAGACCTCAAACCTAAGGTGGTAAAGTATAATTTACCCCAAAAAAATTAAAAAAATAAGGCATGCAAATTTTGAGGAAAAAAAACAATATTCATTAAGAAGAGAACACGTACACAAACATAGAGGATATGGTGCGTGCTGAGCCTCGATAAAAATTTTGTTAGGGATTTCAAACCAAACAAAGGAAAAAAGAGTGTTCCGCACACTCAAACAAAGAGAACTAACCTCTTAATAGGACAATCAAATCAATTACTACCTAGAACAATCTTCCAACAAAACATCCATAATTAAATCCCACAGATCTTCAAACCACACCATCTCAGTATCATTACCAATTCATGTTCGTGCTAGCCGATGTGCCACCTGATTGGCTTCCCGTTGAACATGGGAAGCTCTCACCTTGGTAAATGAAAGTAACAGCAGTCGCCTAATGTCATTGATAATTGGTCCAATAGTGGACACACCCTCTTCTTGTCTCTTCATGGTAGTGAGTACAATATCCAAATCCCCTTCAAATTACACAGGCCCTTCATCTAGAATCAACTCATTGGCAAACAATAGAGTCATTCTAACTGCCAATAACTCCACCTGCAATGGAGAGGCATCATGTGCAATGTGGACCGAGAGTCCAACCACAAACTCACCTTCCTGGTTCCTGAAAACAACCCTTACATTTCACCTAAGTTAGGGGTGGAGCACTCCAAATTTGCATGCTGCGAGTCCGAGGCTCCTTATATTGAGGGTAAAAATGTAAATACAAGTGTAAAAGATATTCCTTAGATATTGGATAGTTTGTTATAGTTGTTTTCAGTTAGTTAGAATGAGATGTTTTCTCTCATTAGTTGAGAATACTTGTATATATACATGTTGTAATATTATTATTCATTCAATGAAAAGATTATTCCCAATATGGTATCAATCGCCTTCTATCTCACGACCTGATCCAAACACGCTTCATCTTGTACAATTTCTTCCTCATTTTTTCTCAGCGATCTGGATCGCGATCTCTGCACTTTCTCTATCTCCAAAACCCTAGCTTTTCACATCAATGACGGATTCTGCTTCTCCTTCCTTTGATTCTACAACTTAAGTTCATCAACCTCATCCGATGACTTCCTCTGTCACAATCACTCCTCCGGCACTTCCTCCGTCATGATTTAGAACATTGGATACATGGTGCTGATTAAGCTCACAACTACCAATTATCTAACTTGGAGTGCTTTGTTCGCTCCAATGTTTCGTTGTTACAATTTCACCGACATAGTTGATGGATCAACACCTCCACCGCCTCAAATGCTACATGATGATTCCAATAATTGCACCTCTCTCATCAATCCAGATTATGTTTCTTGGTACGAGGGTTACATGCGTGTCACATTTGTGTAAACCTGTTAAGGACCAGTTATTAACGGGTTCTTATCGTGTGACCTGATAACAACCCGATTAGTTATTGTGTCGATCGAAAATCTATTATTTTCGTATTAAATCATATAAAAAATTATTAGGTCTACTTGGCGTAATGAAACGACTGCCATAAATTAAAGCATATCCTCCAATTTGGCTATCTTTGACTTTTCAAACAAGCTAAAAGCCTATCTAGGCTAAAGCTTTATCACATCGCCACCAAAGGCCAATCCTATCTATAAGCCACAATTTGTTACATCATTTACCAAAAACCAAGCTAATGACCATCATATCATCTCGCCAATAATTCATTATTTTTCTTTTGGTGATCACAAATACCACCACTTACCACGTGCTGGTCTTGTTTGATGACCAGAATGTAGTCATCATCATTCATCATTGTCACAGCCCGTCCCAAATATATATTTATCGACGACATGAATTGACTAAATACCCTTGGACGTTAGTTGGGTAATGTGGTTTAAGTGTAGCTTTGAGTTAATATTCTTAAATCCTAATTGTTTGGAACCAATTAGGATTAAGTTATGGTACTTTTTTATGGTTGACTAGTCCTAGACCACACACACACTATCTCTCTTCTCTCTCCCGTACCTTCTCATCTCTCTCGGACTCTCACTCTCTCTCTCCTTCAAACTCATACAGACAAACATCCAAAGCCCTTGAAACTTCACAGATTGAAACTTTAAAGTTAAGGTTCTTACTTCTTACTCATTGTAACCTCCTGAGTACATTGATACCCTTGTTTGGATGTGAATGCTTCGAAAACCTGAGAAAACCCTAACCCCGATTTTATGCACTGTTCATGCACACGTAAAATCTTGCGTTTCAGGGAATTCTAAGGACATAGGAAGCTTAAGGAGGTCCTCACAAGTCTATGGGTACTTCGTTGGAAGGATTTGGACGTCGTAGGACTGAGATCGACATGTTTCTAGGTAAGCCGAGCTATCGACCTTTCTCAAGAAAAATCTAGTAGAATTATAACCTGATTCTACATGTTATTAGCTTCATTTTGGTACCAATTTCATGAAAAATGGTTGAAAAATGAGTGAGAATAGTAGGTTTAAAGTTTTACCTAGTTTTCCGACGATCGGCTACTCGCCGGAGAAGATGACGGCATATTCCATCAGTTTGGACAGAATATGCTGACGCCATCAGTCAATTTTAACGGAATCTGTTAGGTTTAACGGAATATTCCCTAACGGTGGTTAGGGAATCCGTCATGTTTGGCCGCGCGTGGGGGCGTGTTTTGCCATGCCCTTGCCGGCGTGTGGCGGCGCTTGGGAGCTCGAAAAAATTATCTAAAAATTTAGGGATGATCCTGAGGTTGTGTAGATCACTGTGGTATATTCATATACCCAATTTGAGCAATGTATGAGAAGTTATTAGTTAGTTTTGCCTATGTGCTTTAAAATAACGTTTTTATAGTTAATTCGCATATAGGTGAGACTTATCTCGAGGACGAGCGTATCCAAGGGCGACTTGGGGGCTACGACCCTTCGACATACCAGTGAGTGGGCTTTGTTTTCAGTATATATTTATATACTTGATATATTTCCCAGAAATGCATTTTTTAAGGAAAGTATGCTTTGAAATAATATGCCAAATGCTTTTATATTCTGAATATGCATTTCATGGTTGTATACATATAAATGTGGTGCTGTGGATGCATAGGTAAGTTCAGGTAAGTTACATTTGGCTATGTGAGTCATCGATGATGTGATATGTGAAATGATGTTGAGCTCATAAAACTGCACCTAGGGTGATTGAGATTTAGCCAGAGATAGAAAGTACATGCCTGTTT